GCCACTTCACATTTTCGTATTCATGACACCAGCAATTGTCCGTGATCCATACAAAGAGCTTAATACATGTTTGTTGAATAAGTCACACTTAACGCTGCAAGCTAGGGTAATAAATAGAATGTGGACTTGATCCATTAAGGGAAAGTAAAACTTCCTGGTTGACAGAGCTGGAACTGGGCTTGCATATTCGTCTGTAAATTTGAGTCTAAGTTTGGTGAACTATTAAAGGAGATTGCAGTCCTTTCTGGAAAGCTATAATAAGGGAACTAGAAGTCTTCTGCAACCAAGCCTAAGCTAGGAATGGGTCAGGAGGTGTTCCATTTCCGAGGCGCATCCGTCAAGGTCAGTGAGCAAGAAGAGGGTCTGGCAATCCCTCCCTGGTTAGAGACGTTTAAGGCTGGTCTTCAAAGGCAACTGTGATCCTGTACATTTTACTGTGTGCTGTGGATATTCTCTCTGGATTGTTTGTCATGTTTATGCTGCTTGGCTGCCTAGCTGTGAAGACTGGGGGAAGATATCGCCTCTCACATTCAAGTCCTAGAATAGAATCAGATGATAAATATACAATGAATGAGTCTAAATATATAATGGGTAGGAAGGGAAGCCTGCTCATATTCAAAAGGGAGGATGTTACCCATTAGAAATTTGTCATGGAAAGTTGACAGCTGGTGACGTGTACATTGCATGAATGGGGTACAGTCAGTGCTTCATCAAAGGAATATTTGTAGAAGGACCATTCTGCAAAGAAAGTGGATGGTAGATATTTGTACGCCACCAAATCTCTATATGATTTGAAAGTTGTGGTGATTCTTAAATAAGATCTGAGATACTCTAAGATATGCTTTTCAATTTCAGAAACTCAAAAAACCTTTGCGCTAAATGTTCAGACCATAGCAAATAATTGAACAATATTATCAGAATTTAGGCATATGCCCCTGAAGAAGTTTTCTGCCCAGCAAAAATCAGAGAGAGAGAGGATGAATCTAAGATCTTTTGTCATCCTTTGGGGCATACATTTCAACCTAGTGTTAGCGCCCTCCCAGTGGTGCCAAAACCCAATGAGTGTATTTTAAATTTTTTTATTGTGCTAAAATATACATAACGTAAAATTGCCCTTTTAACCTTTTTAGCAACTTTTGTTTTGTTTTGTTTTGTTTTTTGTATTTTTAGTAAAGACACAGGTTTCACCATGTTGGCTAGGATGGTCTCCATCTCCTGACCTCGTGATCTGCCTGCCTCGACCTCCCAAAGACTCGGCCTGTTTTTTTTTTTTTTTTAAGAGACAGGGTCTTGCTATGTTGTCCAGGCTGGTCTTGAACTCCTGGGCTCCAGTGATCCTCCTGCCTTGGCCTTCCCAGTAGCTGGGATTACGAATGTGAGCCACAGCACTAGGCCGTTAACCTTTTTTTTTTTTTATTTTTTGAGACTGAGTCTCACTCTATCGTCCAGGCTACAGTGCAGTGGCAGTATCTCAGCTCACTGCAACCTCCTTCTCCCAGGTTCAAGCGATTCTTGTGCCTCAGACTCCTGAGTAGCTGGGATTACAGGCACCCGCCACCGCCCAGCTAATTTTTGTATTTTTACTAGAGACGAGGTTACGCCATATTGGCCAGGATGGTCTCGAACCCCTGACCTCAAGTGATCCACCCACCTGGGCCTCTCAAAGTGCTGAGATTACAGGCATGAGCCACCAGGTCCGGCCTTTTAACCATTTTTAAGTGTACAGTTCTGTGGCATGAAGTACATTCACACTGTGTTGCAACCACAACCCCCATTCAGCTCCAGAACATTTTCATCTTCCCGAACTGAACCCATTAAACAATAACTCTCCATTCCCCCTTCTGCAGCCCCTGGTAACCACTCTTCTACTTTCTGTCTC